GGTTAGCTAAACACGTGTGTAATTTAATTAACACCTAAAAAAAATTATTATTATTATTATTAAATTAAATTAAATTGTATGAAATAACGAATTTTTCGTTGTTTGTTTGTTTGTTTGTTTGTTTTTATAATTTAATTATATTTTTTTTTTTCAGGTTGTGTGTTAATGATGTAAAAAAAAATTAATTAATAACATTTGCTGTTACATAAATTAATAAAACTTTTATTTTTTTTAAAATAATTTTATTTATGTACTGAACAGGTTGATATAATTGGTTCGGTGAAACGAAATTCAATAGCCTTGAATATAATTTTTAGTTGAGAAGTTCACTTTCACCATCTTTTTGTTTTTTTTTTTTGTTTTTTTTTTCTTTTATTTTCCATTTTTTATAAAAATATTCTTAAGTTTTTTTTTTGGGCTTTTATGCTTTATTTTATTTACTGCTCGTTATTATGTTTTTTTTTTTTTGTTTCAAATGATCGCAAGTTTATGTAATGTTTTGATATAATTTTGTTTATAGGTTGGAAATGGAGAACCTACAAAGCCGGTTAAATACATTGAATAATAAAATGGATTCTAATTTTAGTGCACCATATCGAACAGGTGTCGTGTAAAATTTTATTCGAGTACCTTTTTTTTTTTTTTTTTTTTAATATTTATTGATTGATGTACTTTAATATGCATTTACAGATGATAATAGAAAAGAACCTGAAATAGTTGTCAGAGATAGAAAAAATTATGATACCACGTTGTCAGATGAAAAAAATTTCGATGTCGTTCGAGAACCTGAGAATGTAAATAAAAAATTTTTAAGTGAAGAATCGAGACAAAATTCAACGCATAAATACGAACCTAGTTATAATAATAATAATAATAATCAAAATAAAGAACAACCTTATCAAAACATACAACAAAATAATAATAATAATTATGACGGTAGTTATAAAAATAAAAATGGAAATAACGGTTATGAAATAAATCAAAACGAAATGAAACAAGAAATTCAAAATTCAAGACCCTACGACGACGGTCCCCCGCAAAATTATCAAAAATATTACGATAATGATTACGAACAATCACAAAATTATCAAGAACAACCTTTGACGATGGAAGAACAAAATCAGGGAAAAGGAAATTACCAGGAAAGAGGACCGTATCAAGAACAACAACAATTTTCGCAACAGCAACCGTCGTACGCGGAACAACAGCAATCGTATCAAGAACATAATCCGTATCAAGATCAATCTTTATATCAAGAACAACAACAACAGCCCTTCCATGAGGAATCATCTTATCCCGATCAACAATCAAATTATTCGGATCACCAACAACAAAGGATTAAAGAAAATCCGATTTACGATGAAAAACAAGAAATCCAAGAACAAATGACGACACCTCAAGAACAATATAATAATAATCCCGATCCGATCGATCAACCTGTACAGCAGTTAGAACCTGTAGAAAAAACCGTAGTGCAACCGAAATCCGAACAACCGAAAACGACGGCATCTCAAAGATTTCAAAGAGCTGCCGAACTTTCAAGGCAAGCATCCAAATCAGAAGATTCACCGTCACGCGGCAAATTATCATCACAAACGACGAGGTTAAGAAATCCACAATTAACGAGGACTCAAAGCAAATCTCAATCCAGGTTTAAATAATTTTTTTTTTTTTTTTTTTAAATTAAATTTTAAATCGAATGAATTTCCCCGCCCCATCCCCCCCCCCAAAAAAAAAATCCAGCGCGTTCCATGGATAATAATAATGATAATAATAATCAATAGATTCGATAAGGTAAATAAAAATTAATTAAATAATTTTTTTTTATTAAAAAATACGTTTATATTTAAATTTTATGTACATAGTATTGCACAATGAGATTAAAAAAAAAAAAAAAAAAAAAACAAAAAAAAAAAAACGGATTTCCGGTGAACAATTATTGGTAACAATTTTAACAAATTTCTTTAAAAAAAACAAAACGATCTAAAAAATAGGAAAAGGTTGAGTAATTTATTATTATTATTATTATTATTATTAATAATAAAAAAATAATTATTTATTTATTTAATTTATTGTTCGTCTGGTTGGGGTGGTAAACTTCTCAAATATTCGACAGCTCTTTGAATAGCTTCTGGTACTGGTGGGGGAACTGGAAGATGAGCTCCTTGTGGGTGGAATCTTTTGAGAAAAGAAAAAAAAAATTTTTTTATTTGAAAGAATAATTTGAAATTTTTTTATCGTGGGAAAGTAAAAATGTCACCCGGTTAACTTACCCGGTTTCGTCAGCAACGTAAGAAACAGAGTAGGTTTGACCATCGTCACCAACGTAAGAATAAGCACCGTTAGCAACTCCGCCTTTGACTGGTTTTCCTTCTTCGTCAACGAGGTCTTTAAGTGCTCCTTCTTGTACTACTTTGGTACCATCCCCAGCTTTGAAACTGTTTATTTAAAAAAAAAAAAAACAGCGTAAATTTTACCTTTTTTTTTTTTTTTTTAAATCCAATACAAAAATCATGCGGGGGAAAAAAAAAAACAAAAAAATTCTCACCCAAATTTGTAGCTACCATCAACGTTAGATTCATTTTCCAATGATAAAATTGGTACAGGTTCGGTTTGATGTTGTAATTGTTGTGGTCGGGATAAAACACCCAAAACGCAAATGGAAAGAACCAACCCCAAAACCTTTAAAAAAAAAAAAAAAAAATGGAATCCATCCATCACACGATAGGGAAAAATTTTAATAAAAATCCAACGAAATTTAAAAAAAAAAGAAAAAAACCTGCACGAACCTTTCACTACAACTACTTATACTACAAAAAAAAAATTGTAATCAACAGCATAATAATAATAATAATATAAATGAAAAAATTTTTACCTTAATCATATTTGTTGAATTTGTTGTCACTTTTTTTGATAGAAAATGCAGACTAGAGTAACCACGGGATCCTACCTGTTTATTTATATGAGGCCCGCAAGTTAATAGCCTATTACATCATAAAACGTCTCACAACCGTCTTCTACTACTACAATATCTACTACCACGCGGTTGGGTGGGTTTCACTTATGAAGAAGATTGGATTCCTTTTTTTTTTTTCTCCTTTCCTCTACTCTCCTTACCTCTCTTCTCTTTTCTTTCTTTCTTTCTTCTTCTTCGATAATTGATTGATGATCCATTTATAGGTTTTTATTATTATTTTTACATTCTTTTTATTATGTATTCCATGAATTTTTCTTTCAACCTAATTTCGTTTCATTGTAATAATTATAATAATGGTAACACAATGGTGACGTTGATGACAGTTATGATGATGATGATGATTTTGGGAAAATTTTTTATGTGTCGAAATATTAATTGTGGTACGGCCCAATCCAATTTTTATTAAAAAAATAATATTGCGTTATGTAAAATAATCCGACAACGGGATGGGATGAAACGGGACGGGGGAGAACGGGGGGGTTTAGGGATGAATTTGTTATTTTGATTACGTCATAAATAATTTATCGTTTATCGATTTAAAAAATTGTAGATATATAAATAGAGAGAGAGTAAGGGAAAATTAGAAATTTATACTTTTATGCATATTATATATTTATGTATGTATATAAAAAAAAAAAAATGGCGGTTATCACGCGTGACGAATATATATATATAAAAAATGATTATTTATTTAATTCGATTGTATTTTTTTTTTTTTTCAAATTTTTTTTTTTTTTTATTTTATTTTCTTCCCCAGCCAGGTTTTGTCTTATGCCGGTTCACCTTCACCGCGAACATTCTCGTCTTCCTTATCTAAACAACCAAAGTTTTCGATATCGAAATGTAACCACCACATAAAACTAATACGTGGTGTCGCATATGAGAAAAATTTCTATTAAAAATTTTATTGATCGACGATAGAATTTTATAGAAAAAAAAAAAAAAAAGGATCAGGTTTTTTTTTGGGTGTTTGTTTATTACCCGCTTTCTAAACCGTGATTTTACCACCGGTAATACCACCCACGCGTATTATTTTTATATTAAAAAAAAAAAAAAGTTAAATAATAACATTTTGTATCATTCGATTGAGTAATTTTTTGTTCGGTAAATGATAGTTTTCCGTTGCTGTTTTTACCTTAAAAACAACAACAACAACGCGTTATCAGTATTCTGTCGGATTGATAACGACATTAAAAAAAACTAAACAAAACAATTTTTTTTTTTTTTTTAATGTGAAAATCTGTCGGATCGTTTGAAAAAAAAATTTTTTTGTAGGAATTGCCGCGGAGGAGGGAGAAAGGGGAGGGGA